GTAGCCGTGAAGATTGCATGAAGGGACAATAAAGGGTTTTGGGGAAACATATTCAGGTCATTTTGATTTACATGGTGGCTCAACTGGAACAGGGCACTCTGGCATGATAACTCATGCACTAGTCTTGAAAGCACCGAACCTGCAAGCAACCATACACTTTTGTCTGATTCTCAATTTTTGCGAAGTAGAAACAGCCTCGAGAAGTTCAAATTCAGCCTCTCGATTTTGTATAGCTATATGTCTTGCTTTTAGTTCTTGAAAATTTTTCATTGTTTATCATTATTGTACATATCGGAACCAGTCTCTGGGAAGTATTCATGGTCGAAGGCAGTAGAAATCATTCATTTGTTGTCTGATGCAGAGAAAAAAATTGAGAAAGGTGAAAGGAAAAGTGTTGATTTTGTAACTAATTGAGAATGCTTCTTTGACAAGAAATATCATGGAATGTCACTATATTATCTGTAAATCTATTTAGTGAACATTCAATTTTCAATTCTCGTTGATTCTTGGAATTGTCTTTCGAGTTTGAAAATAGACGCTAAATACCTTATATAATATATATATATATATATATATATACTGTCGAAATATAATGGGTTTGATTTTTGAGGAATGAATGCCTCATATTCAGTGGCGGATCTCATAGCCCAAAAACCTTCCCGTCGTAAACCCCCACCTAGAAAAATTCCATTACTTCCCAATTAACAGAATCTGAAGAAAAGCGAAAACATGACGGACCCTGTAGAGTCCTTCAAGCCCTACACTCTTGCCCAAACCCTAACCGGCCACAAGCTCGCCGTCTCCTCCCTCAAGTTCTCCTCCGACGGTCGCCTCCTTGCCTCCTCCTCCGCTGATAAAACCATCCGCATCTACTCCGTCAAGCCCAACAGTGATGATGCCAGTAACAAGCCCGACGACAAGAAAAGTGGTGACAATGGCGCTAACATTGTCTGCCCTCTTCAGGAATTCTCCGGTCACGAGCAGGGTGTGTCAGATGTCGCCTTCTCGTCCGACTCCCGGTTCCTAGTGTCGGCATCCGACGACAAGACCCTCCGGCTGTGGGACGTCGCCACGGGGTCCCTCATCAAGACTCTTAACGGTCACACTAACTTCGCCTTCTGCGTGAATTTCAACCCTCAGTCCAATATGATCGTCTCTGGGGCTTTCGACGAGACTGTCAGGATCTGGGATGTCAAGTCCGGCAAGTGCCTCAAGGTCTTGCCTGCACATTCCGATCCTGTCACCGCCGTTGATTTCAACAGGGAGGGAACTCTAATTGTCTCTAGCAGCTACGACGGGCTTTGTAGGATTTGGGACGCTGGCACCGGCCATTGTATGAAGACGCTGATTGACGACGAGAACCCACCTGTCTCTTTTGTCAAATTCTCTCCCAACGGCAAGTTTATTCTCGTCGGCACCCTTGATAATACCCTGGTAAGCTTTTGTGTTTTGAGGGAATCTCTTACTGTCAGTTTGGTTTTATGTTGTCGTTCGGTCTAGGTGTTTGTTAAAATGTCACAGAGAATCGTAGCTCTTTAATGGTGATTTAGAGTAGACCCGTTTGCTTATAGCTATCACTGAATCTGGAGTAGACTGTCCATTGACGACAGGTTGGGGAAATGCACTGCATTTATATTGAAAGTATCAATTGAACAAATTTCATTGAAATAAATTATTAAAAATTTCTTCTAACTCTGCTTTTCTGACTAAGATTCAATAATGGCATTAAGTTGCATCATAACTTGGATACTCATAATTGCATAATGTGACTAGAATGTCAAGTATGGATTTTTAATTTTTCATCGTACTCGGATTGTTTGTTTTGTGCTTTTCTCTCTTGCCTGATTTCTATTTTCTGCACACCGTTCCTTGATTCTCGATCGAGTTGGCTAGTCGCCATTAGGCTGCCTTGATGAACTGGTCAAAAGTTGACAGCTTATAAACCTTTTTTGTTGCAGAATAAGTTAATAAAACCAATACGTGCTATAAGTTCATACCACTTGGAACATGTCAATAGTTTATTTGTGAATAAAGAAATCTGTATTAATTTATAAGTTCTGTATCTTATAAACTCTTACATTTTTAGGCGAACCAAAGACATTCTTGATTCTTGTTGCAAATTGGGATGCATCTGAACCTATGCTTCTTTATTGTAAAATTTATCTCATACACTAGACCAAGCTAACAGCTGGGAAATCCAAATAACACTGGGATTTCTCTGACAGACATAAATTACATGCCTTTTGCATCTTTGCAGTGCCTTCATAATTCATAATCTTGTTTCCTAATCTTATATGGTTTCATTTTGACATGCAGAGGCTTTGGAATTTCTCGACAGGGAAATTTCTGAAGACATACGCTGGGCATGTAAATTCGAAGTACTGCATACCTTCGACATTTTCTATAACAAATGGGAAGTACATTGTTAGTGGTTCGGAGGATAATTGTGTGTACTTGTGGGAACTTCAGAGTAGAAAAATAGTTCAGAAATTGGAAGGTCACACTGACACTGTTATATCAGTAGCGTGTCACCCGACTCAGAACATGATCGCATCCGGTGCGCTTGGAAATGATAAGACTGTGAAGATATGGACTCAGGAGAAATGATGATGTTGTTTTAATCTGATCGGAATGGGTAACATTTGGCTTCTGCTATTTTTTGTTGCATAGGATTCTTGCCCCTCCCTGTAGTTTAATGTAGCAGCCAGAACCCACCTTGTTTCTCCCCGGAATTACTCTTCTGTGATCACTGTGAACTCAAATGTCCAAAGTTGCTCCTTTTATATGTAACCTTTTGGCCTTCAAGGTTCCCTCAACTTTGCAGCACCTCCTCAATCTCTCTCTCCATATATATATACATATAGAATAATTTTATTTAAATAGGATCAGTTCTATAAATTCGTACTTATGTATTTTTGTGTTCCAAGGAGACAAGATTTCAAATTTGGTGGACGAATCGTAACCGTATAATCAAAGCGTAATTAATGACAGAGACGGTTCCTGATTCATTAATGTTGTAGAAAATCAGTTCCAATTGGGTTTGATCTTGGCTGGGATGATCATTCGATTATCTGACAAACTAATAAAATATATATATATATATATATATAGAAAAATATAGTTTCAATCTTCTGTGTTGATTTTACTGCAATTCAATTTTTTGTGGCTTATTGTGACAATTCAGTATTTTGAAATTTTATTTTTTTATCCATTGATTTTTTTAGTAAAAAAGAATTATAATTGTATAGATTTTTAACCGCAAACATGAAAAAGTTTGATTACGTAAAATTAAGATTAAAAAGATTACGAAATTATAATCTAAGAATTATTGAAACTTAAACTAAAAATATTGAATTATTACCGGAAAAAAAAATCCCATGGAGTTTAAATTATGGTTAACATCTAATCACAGGTTATAAACTGTAATCTGCTCTTGATTTATTACCTTAAAATTTGAAGTACGCGTATTCTATATGAGTTTAGAAATAAAAACAAGAGACGCAAAAATCTGTCTGGAGGGACAGACCCTTTTGTGAGAACATAAGATCCTTTCATCTGGTCATTGGAACTGGTAAATACAGGCATAAATCGGTGTGTCATTACTCCTATTTCCTAACTTGGTAACTTAGTAGATGATATCGGAAGATCTTGGAGTTTCTTCCCCCAGTTATGTTAAAGAGCTGGGGTTGTGCTCTGAGAAAGAAAGTTCAGATGACTGTTTCTTGGTATAATTATATAATTTCTGAGTTCTTACCCAGATGTTGAAGTATGCTTCTTAACAGGTTATGTGGGCAGTGGGTTGATGATAACTTGAATTTTCTCTTCGAAGCTTCGTTCTTTCATGCAACGAGAGATTACCGATAACCCGTATGCTTGTTTTCGCTCGTTCTGTCGGATTCCATGGCGCTAGCTCTTGCATACAATCGTGCTTTCATTATGGAAACAGGTACACCTCGTGGATTGCTGACCATGTGTTCGACGAATTTCCTGAAGGAGCTGACATTGAGTTTTCTGGTTCGTTTTTCAAGGACTCTGCAAGTGAGACTTCGGCAAGAAATAGACGAGAGGGACGACGTCGTACTGGTTATATTACAGAAACCATCAACATTGTCGATGCAAATGAAGCAGCATTGAAGTCATTTCGTCAATCGAACGCATCTGGAACTAAGCCTACGAGGTTCCTTCTCTGTACTGCTCTTAATTCTTGTGCCAAAACGCTAAATTTTCACTTAGGTTTACAAATTCATGCACGCTTAATTCGTGACGGGTACGAGGGTAATTTGTTTCTAAGTAGCGCTCTTATTGATTTATATGCGAAATGTGGCGCTGTGATGGATGCAAGAAGAGTTTTTGATGGTATAAAAATGCATGATCAAGTATCCTGGACCTCAATGATCTCTGGTTTATCACAGAATGGACATAGTAGAGAAGCCATTTTATTGTTTAAAGTGATGTTGGGAACTTCCATTAAACCAAATTGCTTCACCTACGTCAGTGTCATTAGCTCATGTACAACGCAAGAGGAGAGTATGTTGCTCCATGGACATGTTACCAAACTAGGACTTCATACTAACAGTTTCATCGTCAGTGCCTTGGTTGGTTGCTACTCAAAATCCCAAAGAATAGACTGGGCTGTACTTTTATTCAATGAGATGGAAGATAGGGACAATGTTTTACTAAATTCTATGATCTCAGGATATTCTTATAATCTTCTTGGCGAAGAGGCTGTAAGATTATTTATCAGAATGAAGAAGGAGAACATGAATCCTACCAATCATACTTTAACCAGCGTCCTAAATGTTTGTGGGAATCTAACAGTACTTCAACAAGGAAAACAGGTTCACTCCTTGGTAACTAAAATGGGTTGTGAAAACAATGTGTTTGTAGCTAGTGCTCTGATTGATATGTACTCCAAGAACGGCAGTCCTGATGAGGCTTGTCGTGTTTTCTACCAGATTGAACGGAAGAATAGTGTTTTATGGACTTCTATGATCATGGGTTTTGCTCAGAGTGGAAGAGGATCAGAAGCACTGGAACTTTTTGAGCATTTGGTAGCCAAAGAAGGCTACAGACCAGACCATATTTGTTTTACTGCTCTACTGACTGCCTGCATTCATGCCGGATTTCTGGACCAAGGAATAGAATACTTCACCAAAATGACAAGTGAGTACAGTTTAGTACCTCAACTTGACCAGTACGCAATCTTGGTTGACCTCTATGCAAGGAACGGACACCTGAGAAAGGCAAAGGAGGTGATGGATGAAATGCCTTACGAACCAAATTATGTAATGT